TTTTCACCAAGGCACCTTGTCCCTGTGCCCCTGCAGCCCCACGGGTCCCCCTCTCCCATCCCCAGGGTGGTCACCCACCCAGGGATGAGGCACCTTGTCCCTGCAGCCCCCCTGGGTGCTCCTCTCCCATCCCCATGGTCATCACTCATCCAGGGACCCCCTTCCCTCCCCAGAGCATCCCTCCCTCCCATCCCCACGGTCACCACCCATCCAGGGACCCCCTCCCCTCCCCAGAGCATCCCTCTCTCCCATCCCCATGGTCATCACCCACCAGGGACCCTCTCCCCTCCCCAGACCATCCCTCCCTCTCATCCCCATGGTCATCACCCATCCAGGGACCCTCCCCTCCCCAGAGCATCCCCAGAGCATCCCTCTCTCCCATCCCCACTGTCGTCACCCATCTAGGGACCCTCTCCCCTCCCCAGAGCATCCCTCCCTCCCTCCCAACCCCATGGATGCAGCAGCGCAGGGACCCGGGGATGGTCCCGGGAAAGGGGAGGGGGGGACACGTTTGGGAAGGGTGGGGGTCTCTCCTTTGTCTCTGCAGCCGCGGGGCGCCCCGGGGGTCCCCTGTTCAACCCAGGCAGGTGCATCCCCTCGGGAAGAAGAAGGGATGGATGGCGAGATGGGGAAGCCGGGGGAGGGGTGAGAGGGATAAAGACGATGACAAAGGCGGCGAGCGGGGGGGGGTCGGGTCTCCACACGCCCCCCTCGCAGCCCCCTGCCCCGGCGGAAGGAAGGGCGGTGGAAGGGCGTCCGCGGCTGCGCTGCCCCCGCACCGAGCGCGGCCCCGGGTGCGGGCGGAGGGGGCGGGCAGGGCCGGGGGGGGGGGAGGGCGGGGAGGGGACGGCGGCACCGCCGGCTCGGCCCCTTCGCCGGGGCTCGGCGGAGCGCGGCCGCCCCTCGCCGCGCCCCCTCCCCGCCGCCCCGGCAGCCGGAGCTCGGCAGAAGCTCCTCCGGGAGCCCCGCGGAGCCGCCGAGCCCGGAGCGCGGAGCGGAGCCCGGCGGGGATGCGGGAGGCGGCGAGCGGCTGAGGAGGACCCCGGCTCCGCGCCGGGCGGAGCACAGACCCCCTTCTTCCCTTCCCTTCCAGCCCGCCGGATTTGGGATTTTACCTGCTCGCCTTGGGAATTAATATTATATATATATATTTTTTTTTTTAATCCATCCCTTTTTTTTTTTAAATTTTGAAATTTTTATTTTATTTTATTTTTGCACACGTGGAGGAGCGCGCGGATTTCCTAACATGATCTTGGCAAACGCCTTCTGCATCGTCCTCTTCGTAGGTGAGTGGTCCCGGCCGGGGTGCCCCGGGCTGGTGTGGGGGATTTTGGGGGTGGTGGCTGTCGCCTGGCCGAGGTGGCGTGTCCCCCCCCACCCCCCGGGTGAGAGGCTGCGGGGACTGAGAGCGGGACCGACCCCCTGCGAGCCGGCGCTGCGGCAGGAGGGGGACGCGGCGAGGGGCTTAACTAAGGGCAACTTGATTCTCCTATTCCCTGTAAACTTAAAATGGGGAGGGGGACGCGGAGGACGCGGGGGACACAACCCTTAAGCAGCTCCCGCCGCTGGCAGCGCATGGAACGAGCGGGATCATCCACCGGCACAGCCCTGCTCGTCTCCGATCCTTCTCTCCTCGTCAACCAGCAGCGATTTGCATTTTTGGGGGATATCTGCCCCTCTCGCCCCCTCCCACCCGTGTCTCCCGGTGTCCACCCAGCGCTGCTTCCCATCCCACCTCACGCCCTTCCAAAGGCTGGGAACGCGGCGCGGGGAATGGGCTGGGAAAGTTGAGCCCGTGGCGTGTTGCGTGTGCGTGGGGAACCGCCGTCCCCGCGGCTGGAATCGCGCGTGGAGCCGGAGAGAGGGAGCGCGGCTGAGTTCCCGGGGAGCTTTGTCTGCGCCGGGAGACGCTTCCCATTTATTTCTAGGGCAGCCTCCCGCGGGAGGTGCAGCTGGAAAAGGGGGGGGGGACGGGACCCACAGATCGCGCTGGGTTTGGGGTGAAAAGGAGGCAGGTGGGAAATGTCCGGTTTTTTGCCCTCCTTGCCGTGGCTCCTGTCTGTGCCCGTGTCGCGATCCCGATGCCATCCCGGATTCCCGGCCCCTCCGTGGGTTCCCTGCGTGTGAACCCAGCTCTCTTTGGGTTCCTGGGGTGTGATCCCAGCTCCCCGTGGGTTCCCGGGGTGTGATCCCAGCTCCCCGTGGGTTCCCTGCATGTGAACCCAGCCCTCCATGGGTTCCCGGTCTGTGATCCCAGCCCCTCGTGGGTTCCCGGTCTGTGATCCCAGCTCTCCGTGGGTTCCTGCTGTGTGATCCCAGCCCCTCGTGGGTTCCCACTGTGTGATCCCAGCTCCCCGTGGGTTCCCGGGGTGTGATCCCAGCTCCCCGTGGGTTCCCGGGGTGTGATCCCAGCTCCCCGTGGGTTCCCGGGGTGTGATCCCAGCTCCCTGCAGCACCAAGCACCCGGAAAACTCCGCTGAGCCTCTGCTGGGCTGGCGGGGTGTCACCGTCCTGCGGGGACAGGGAGAAGGGACACGGAGCTGCTGGGGGAGACTTGAAGGTTGGCAGAGCCACCCTCGCTCCAGAGGGACGTGGAGCTCGGCTCTGCATCCTGCCTGGAATGAGGGTGAGGGGCTCTTCCCCTCTCTGCTCCCGGCACGATCCTGGGGGATTGAAGGGATGCTGTGGGGTGGGGTGGGGTCAGCCGGTGCCTCCCACACCTCTCTGTGGGGTGGGACACGGGCCCCAGCCCCGGTTTGGGGGTGCCCTCTCCCAGGGAGTGCCAAGGGGCACGAGCAGTGCCCTCTGAGACAGAGAGAAGGGGGCACGAGTGGGGAGACCCCTGGGCAGGGGAGAAAAGGGGGGGTCCAACCCGGCTGGGGGGCCAGCTGTGAGCATGCCCGAGGCGATGCTGGATGTCTCATGGTGACATTTTGGGGGGGCTGGGACCCCCAGGGGGACAGGGACCTGCAGGGTGCCCCACTGGAGACATCCAGACCGGGGTCCAGCTGCCCTGCACGAAAGCAAGACCCCCCTGCCCCCCCATTCCTGGTTGCCCTAAAGGTTTTGTGGGTGCAGGGGGGGGAAGCCACGTCCCCAAATCCAGAGGAGCCGGAGCACCCTGGTGATCCAGGGATGTTGTACCCCCAGGGATGGGGTAAATCCTCGTGGGGAGGATCCTGGTGCAGAGGACACCTGGCTCTGCACATCTGGGATCATTCCCGAGGAGCCAGAGCAGCCCCCTGGCTCTGGGAAGCTCTGTGTTCCAGAGGCAGCCTTTTTGGGGGGCGAGTTGCGAGAGGATGAATATTTCCCTCTCCCGAAGGTCTGTGGCAGAACCAGCCAAAGAAAACGTGTGTTAGAGCTCGGAAAAGAGGCTGCTGGTGTGGGGAGGAAAAGGGGCCATCGCCTTGTGTGCTGGCAGAGCCTTGTGCATCTGCCTGCAAATCCTCGCCCTGCTCCGACACCCCGGAGACTGCTGAGGATTAGCTCGGAATTCTCTGCAGATGTTTCATGGATGGGAGTTTAGGGAGGGTGGCTCTGTCAGGAGAGGTTTTTTTGGGTGAGGGAGGTGAAAAAATTCCCCCCTGGGTCTCGCCCTCCATCCAGACTCCCCACCCTGTGCCTTGGTGGGGCTGCAGGGCCGGGAGGGGAAGGGGGGGATCCAGGAAAAACCCACGGAGGTGGCAGCCGGGGCTGATTCCTGCTGGATTTGGAGGGACCAGGCTGTGCTGTGCAGGCTGGGAGCGTGAGGAAGGGCTGTGCCTGCTCTTCCTCCTCCGGTGGGGTGGCTCTGTGCTCCGGGCTCTGCTGGCATTCCCGGTTGGATCGTGTGGGATGCTGCAGGAACCCTGCCAGGGAGGCCGAGGGGCTCACACAGATCCCTGTTCCCTGCAAGATCATGGAAACAAGGTGGAAAAAGCCAGGAGGATGGGGCCAGCTCGCCACCAGCTCACATCCCTGCTGGCTCCCAGCGGGTGGATTTACTGTCGGGCTTCCCAATCCGGCCCTGGGATGTGCACGAGGATATTCCAGCTGGTCCAGCACCTTTTGCATCAAGGCAAGGATGTCTCCCATCCCTACCTGCCTGCCAGCACCTCTGGTTCCTGCCTGGGGAGCCCCTGGATCCAGCCAGGAGGCAGGAATGTGGCTGTTTGGGAAGAGGCTTTGTGGCATCGGCTGGAGAAGATGGAATTTGGAGCTGAGACCTGGCCCAGGGCAGAGGGATTTGGGATGAGCACCAGCTGGATCTGACACCGAATGGGCGAGGATGGCACATGGTGGAGCTGTGGGATGGCTCTCCATGTCCCCCTGGAGCTGTGGGATGGCTCTCCATATCCCCTGGAGCTGTGGGATGGCTCTCTGTGTCCCCTGGAGCTGTGGGATGGTTCTCCATGTCCCCTGGAGCTGTGGGATGGCTCTCCATGCCCTGGAGTGGTTGCCCTGCAGCCACAGCAGGCTCAGGTTGTCTGGATGCCTCAGGCTGGGCTTTCCCAGCGTGTGAAGCTGCAGAGCCCCTTCCAGCATCATTCCAAAGCGTGGTGAAGATCCAACATTCCTGCCCCCAGGAGCTGCCTGTTTCTCCTCCAGCAGTCCAGGCCGTGTGCCAGGAGTGTTCCTGCATGGATCCTGCCTGCCTCCCGTGTGGAATATAATCCTGAAAGGCCAGGGATGGCCTTCCCAAGGTTGGATCTACCGTGGGTTACCCGGACCCTGCAAACCTGTTTGGGATCATCGGCTGAAGACCAGGAGGGATCTGTGGGATCTGTTCCTTGGACTGACCACGGGCAGGGGAGCTGCTTCCACCTGGGCTGCTGCTGCTGCCCACCCTGTTCCTTTACCCCTGTCCCCCCCAGAGCCCCCCGAGTGTCCCCTCTGGCACAGGACCCAGAGGGACAGAGCTGGGTGTGGCCACCCACCCCTCTGGCCACTCCTTCCCACGGGATGCAGGAGGTAGGGGACAAATGTCCAGCCCAGGGTGGTGGCAGAGGACAAACATCCAGCCCAGGGTGGTGGCAGGGGACAAACATCCAGCCCAGGGTGGTGGCAGGGGACAAATGTCCAGCCCGGGGTGGTGGCAGGGGACAAATGTCCAGCCCAGGGTGGTGGCAGGGGCCCAGCCCTGCCTGTTGGGAGCCACCCGGGTGTCCTGGTGGGCAGGGGGGGGACACGGGTGGCCCTTGTCACATTCCTGTAGGTGTCACTGTCCCCCTGCCAGACCCGGGCTGGGAAGGGGCTGGGAGCTGGAGGCCGAGGTTCCCATGGGATGGGAATGCTGCTCCTCATGGGATGGGAATGCTGCTCCTCAGGGTGCAGGGACAGGTGCTCACCAAGGGGGGTTCCCCCCGTCCATCACCCTCTGGTGGGTGCTGGCGCTGCACAAAGCAGGGCCCCCCCTCTCCATCACCCTCTGGAGCAGCCCAGGGTGCCCTCCAGGTCCTGCCATGCCCGTTTTTGCCTGTTCTAGGGTTTTCCATGGAATCTGGCAGTCAGGGGGTCGGGAGAGACAGGAGTGACAGGAGTGACAGGAGTGACAGGAGTGCCCACCCCATCCCTGGTGCAGGCTGGGGGGGACCAGTGCTGCCCGTGCCCAGCTCCCCCTGCACCCACCAGGGGCTGTGCCACGGGGGTTGGCTTGGCGAGGATCGATTCCCAAAAGGAAAAGAGAAGGAGAAGACGATGGAAATGGTGTGAAAGCTGTGGGAACGCCGAGGCAGGAGGGGAGGGTACAGAGCTGGGTCTGAGCAGTGGGCACTGGAGGGCACAGAGGAGGGTCTGAGCAGCGGGCACTGGCCCTGCACGGGCAGCAGGGACATTTGCCACCCCAAGGGATGGCTGGCACGGGGGGGAGGCAGGAGGCCATGCCAGGGGGAAGAGCCTGTGCAGAGCCATGGCTGCCCTGTTGAGCTCTGGCACTCCCAACCCCGCGGGTCAGATGCCCAAAAAATCCCGTGACGGGGCTGAAAACGATGAGCAGCTCAAAGAAAAGCCCAAAGAGCAGCGTGTGCAGGGAGCTGGGGTGGAATTCCCGCTTCCCTGGGCTCCGGGGGGTCCCTGGGAACATGCCGAGGTCATGGGTTTGCCGGGTTGGTTTTAATAGGAAACAGGAGGTTCCTGGGGCATCACGTGGGGCTGGGAGTCGAGGGGTTGGGTTAACCCTCCACCTTCCCATTCCACACCCTGGGGCACCTCCTGGCTCCTGGGGTGCCTGGTGACATTCCTGGGAGTGCCCAAAGCCAGGCTGGATGGCATTTGGAGCAGCCTGGGATAGTGGGAGGTGTCCCTGCCCGTGGCAGGGGGGTGGAATGAGATCCTGGAATCCCAGAGCGGTGTGGGTTGCAAGGGACCTTAAAGTCATCCAGTCTCACCCCCTGCCACGGGCAGGGACACCTCCCACTAGCCCAGGTTGCTCCAAGCTGCCCTTGGACACTTCCAGGGATCCAAGGGCAGCCACAGCTTCTCTGGGAAATCCATTCCAGGGCCTCTCCACCCTCCCAGGGAGGAATTTCTTCCCTGCATCCAACCTAAATTTCTCCTCTTTCAGTTTGACCTTTAAGGTCCTTTCTAACCCAAACCATTCCATGATTCCGTGGCACATCCAGGCTAATTTCAGGCGTGATGGAACAATCCTCTCCCTCCCTGGAGCAGCCCGAAGGTGTCTCCACCAGGAACCTCATCCCAGGGCAGAGGAGGGGCAGGGACTGAGCTCTGCTCTGGGGGGACCAGGGACAGCACCCAGGGAAGGGCTGGAGCTGTGTCAGGGCAGGGTCAGGTTGGATCCCAGGGAAAAGGTTCTTCCCCCAGAGGGTGGCTGGGCACTGCCCAGGCTCCCCAGGGCAGTGGGCACAGCCCCAAGGCTGCCAGAGCTCCAGGAGGGTTTGGATGATCCTCTGGGGCACAGGGGGTGACTCTGGGGATGGGCCTGTGCAGGGCTGAGGGTTGGACTGGATGCTCCTTGGGGGTCCCTCCCATCTCAGGATATCCTGATTTCAAAACCTGCTAAAAAAATATCACGTTTTTGAAAGTCTGGTGAAACTCGAGGCCTCTGTTCCACCAGCTTTCAAAACTCAGGGAGCATTTCTGCACCCCAAGGCAGAGGGGCATTGCAGGGGTGCCCAGCCTTGTGGGGTGAGGGTGTCCCAGAGCCCAGCTGAGGGTCAGCACCCGTTTACCTCCCACCCTTAACTTCCACCAGAAAAGAATCACCTTATCCTTGGAATTTAGGAAGAAATTATTTCCAGAGAGGGTGATCAGCCATTGGAATGGGCTGCCCAGGGAAGTGGTGGATTCTCCATCCCTGGAGGTTTTTAAGCTGAGACTGGATGTGGCATCAGTGCCATGGGCTGGGAACCACGGCGGGGTTGGATCAAGGGTTGGACTTGATGATCTCGGAGGTCCCTTCCAACCCAGCTGATTCTGTGATTCTGTGATCCTATGATTCAATGATTTCTGCATCCCAAGGCAGAGCAGCACGCAGGGGTGCCCAGTCCTGTGGGGATGGACCAGGGTGAGGGTGTCCCAGAGCCCAGCTGAGGGTCAGCACCCGTTTACCTCCCGCCCTTAATGTCCACCAGAAAAGAATCACCTTATCCTTGGAATTTAGGAAGAATTTCTTTCCAGAGAGGGTAATCAGGCATTGGAATGGGCTGCCCACCATCCCTGGAGGTTTTTAAGCAGAGACTGGATGTGGCATCAGTGCCATGGTCTGGGAACCACGGCGGGGTTGGATCAAGGGTTGGACTTGATGATCTCTGAGGTCCCTTCCAACCCAGCTGATACTCTGATTCTGTGGATAGAAGGGAGAAACGGGAGTCGTTCCAACGCAGTGAGAATAGTTTAAAATTCACGTATAACCGGGGAACGACCCGAGGCGGCCGCGCGGGGTCCCGGCGAGCGGGGGGGAGGTGGGGAGGGAACACGACACCTTCCCGCCCCATCTCCGCCCTCCCTCACCTCCGTGTGCCCTCCTCTCTGCCCCTCCCCGTCCCAGACGAGATGCTGCGCTGCCTGGGAGCCGGCCCGGGCTCGGCGGGGCAGGACCCCCGCGGCTGGAGGGTGCCCGTGGACTGCGTGCGGGCCAACGAGCTGTGCGCGGGCGAGCCCGGCTGCAGCGCCCGCTACCGCACCCTGCGCCAGTGCCTGGCCGGGCGCGACAGGAACACCATGTTGGCCAACAAGGAGTGCCAGGCCGCCCTGGAGGTGCTGCAGGAGAGCCCCCTGTACGACTGCCGCTGCAAGAGGGGCATGAAGAAGGAGCTTCAGTGCCTTCAGATCTACTGGAGTATACACCTGGGGCTGACCGAAGGTGAGGGCGGGGAGGGGTTGGGGTGGGGTGGGGGAGAGGGGGGTGCTGGCACGGGAGTCTGGGGGAAAGGGGGTGGGTGGGGCTTGGGTAGGTCAGGTAAGACGGGTGGGTACCCCAGGTAGGGCAGGGGGGTACACCGGGGAAGGGAGATGGGCACCCAAGGTAGGGGAGGTGGGTACCCCGGGTGGGGCAGGTGAGCTCCTTTACCCCAGGTTAGGGAGATGGGCACCCCAGGTAAGGCAGCTGAGCATCCCAGGTAGGGCAGGTAGGTAGCCCAGGTAAAGCTAATGGGTTCCCCAGGTAAGGGAGATGGGCACCTCAACTAGGGCAGATGGGCACCCCAGGTAGGGCAGGTGGGTACCCCAGGTAAAAGAGATGGGCACCCCAGGTAGGGCAGGGGGGTACCCCAGATAAGGGAGATGGGCACCCCAGGTAAGGCAGGTGAGCATCCCAGGTGGGCAGGTGGGTACCCCAGGTAAGGCAGGTGGGTCCCCCAGGTTAGGGAGATGGGCACCTCAGGTAGGGCAGGTGAGCTCCCAGGTGGAGCAGGTGGGTACCCCAGGTAGGGCAGGTGAGTTCCCTTATCCCAGGTTAGGGAGATGGGCACCCCAGGTAGGGCAGATGGGCACCCCAGGTAGGGCAGGTGGGCACCCCAGGTAGGGCAGATGGGTACCCCAGGTAGGGCAGGTGGGCACCCCAGGTAGGGCAGGTGAGCTCCTTTACCCCAGGTAAGGGAGATGGGCACCCCAGGTAAGGCAGGTGGGTACCCCAGGTAAGGGAGATGGGCACCCCAGGTAAGGCAGGTGAGCTCCCAGGTGGGTACCCCAGGTAGGGCAGGTGAGCATCCCATTCCCAGAGGATGCTCACGGGGGTTGATTTCTGCCCAAGACGGGCACGGGGTGTCCCTGTGGAAGGTGTCCCTGCCCGTGGGAGGGGGTCGGAAGGAGAATTTTTTAAGGTCCCTTTCCAACACAAACCAGTCTGGAATTCTGGGATTCTGGGGGGGAGCTGTGCCTGAGGATGGGAAAGGTGTCCCCGAGGATGGGAAAGGTGTCCCCGAGGATGGGAAAGGTGTCCCCGAGGATGGGAGAGCTGTGCCTGAGGATGGGAAAGGTGTTCCCAAGGCTGGGGGAGCTGTACCCCAGCTCACAGCCCCCCTGGGTGAAATCCCCTCCAAATCTGGGTCAGCACAGGAAGCTGCGAGCCCAAAACCCGTCCCAGAGCAGGAATTACTCCTTAATTGTTTTTTCCCCCTCATTAACAGCCTTCATTGAGCAGCTTCCCAGGGCTTTCCAAGCATGAATGAGGGACGTTTTTAAGGGCTTGCTGGGTACTCCAGGAGCTGTACCTGGAGGAGGAGGAGGTGGGAAGGGAAGTGATTATGCCAAGTCTTTAGGAGAGGTGGAAGCTCTGGGGCGATCCAGCAGCTCGTTGCTTTAATGTGCAGCGAGGAACCCGAAGCAGCTCCTGATCTTGTGCCATTTTAGCCAAGATTTCGGGGCTGGCGTCCTCCCAGCTGGGGAATGCCCCCTGTCCCTGCCTTCGGGGAGGGCTGCTCTGGCTCCAGCCTCACTCCTGGAGGTTAATTGTATCTCCAGGCAGGTCCAGCGCCCTTTTAATGCTCCGTAATTTCCCTGGCAAAGCAGCAGGAGTCAAGCTGGGGTTTAATTATTCATTGCAATACACCGGGAGGTTACTGTGCTTCCTAAACGCACTTTAATCAAGGTGCTGTTTGTCATCGGAGCACGAGGAAACCCGGGGAGCTGGGGGAGGGCTGGGAACGGCCTGGAGAAGGACCCTCCGGGCTGCCTGGAGCCTGTTCCCTTCCCTGTGCCCCCAAAGAGCATCAGCCTGGGGAGAGCAGGCACTGGGGGACGGGCTGGAACCCCGCAGGAGAGGGAGGCAGCCCAGCCTGGTGCCTCTCCCTCCCAGATTTCCAAGGAATGCCAGGGTGCCTCTCCCTCCCAGATTTCCAAGGAATGTCACTGAGGAGCCGCCGGGCTCGGGGCAAACCCTCCTGCCCCTCTCCCCGTCCCTCGTTGGCCGCGCAGGCTTTGGAGCGGCTCCTCAATCCCGCGGGATAAACGCCGCTGCCTCGGGCCGGGAATAACCCCGGGATGCATCCCAGGCTCCATCCCAGCGCCCCATCCCGGGGAAGGGATGCCCCAGCACGCCGGGATCGATGCTCCAGCCGCTGCTCAGCCTCAACCGGGGCTTTCAAAGTCCAGGCATTGATTAATTTTTATAGATAGATATATATATTTTATTCATTTTTTCCTGTGGCCGCCGGGGTTTGGGGAGAGCGTTTCCTCTCCTGAGGGCCGTGGCTGCTTGTCCTGAAATCGGCTTTTTTTTTTCCTGGGGTTTAACCCGGCAAAAGCACGGGGGGGTTTTCCCTGAAATCCAAGCTGGGAGAAGGGGGATTTGCCCCCGGCCTGGATCACGCTCAGGTTCCCTCTGGAAGGTGTGGATTATGGTGGATGAGTCCCTGGAGTGCAGCGTGGGGACACTCTGGGGCTCTCAGAGGATGAGGGTCTGCACCCCTCCCTGAAATATTCCTATTTTCCCAAGGAATGGGGTGGAAAACTGTGTTACAGGAGGATTTTAGGCAAATGGGGGGGTTGGAACAACAATAAAACAACCCAGAGCTGAGCACAGCCCCTCAAACATCCAGCCTGCAGCTGGCCCAGATGGGGGGGCCGTGGCCAGGGAATCCCAATCCCCTTTCAAACTCCAATTCCCTCAATTCCTGGAGCTGCTCCCAACCCCAGCTGGGACGGGGAGCTGAGCTAGTGGCCAGAGCCAACCTGAACCACTCCAAAATCAGCTTTTCCTCATGTTTCAGGCTTTTTTTAAAGGCTTTTTGGCTTCCCCCCTTCCCAAATCCCAGGCTGGGGGGTGGGGGGGTTTCCTGTGTCGAGATCATTCCCTGTGTGGGTTTTAATTTGCTTTTCCTCCCTCCCCTTCCTCCTTCTCTCCCTTCCCTCCCACGGCAGGAGAAGAATTTTATGAAGCTTCCCCGTACGAGCCGGTCACCTCTCGTCTCTCTGATATATTCAGACTCGCTTCAATTTTCTCAGGTAATAAAAGCAACAAAGCTCTGGCTGCTTTATCTTCCCCTGGCCCGGGGAACACAGACCTGCCACCGGGAGCTCCCTGGCAGGGAAAAATCTGCAGCTCCTCCCCTCCCCGGGGCTCATCCTGTAGCTCTTGCAGCTCCTCCAGCTGCTTTCCTGCCCCTTTCATTGCCCATCACCCCAAATCTGGTGCCCTGGGCATCGATCTGGGGGGACACCAGGCCTCCCTGGGATGCTGGAGGGGGATGGAGGGGCTGGATCCCACCTGGTGGTGCATTTTGGGGCAGATCCTCTCGGTTTCAGCCCTCCCCAGGCTGGGATTTAGGTTTTTTTACCTCCTGGATTCAACCACGGATTTACAGGAGATTGCTGAGGTTGGGTTGGAGAGGCTGAAAGTCCCTTAAATCCCTGATTTCCCTCGTCCCCAGCATCGGGGTGGGGAGGAAAGGGGGGCTCCAGACCCCCAGTTCCACATCTTCTGGAAGATTTGGGACCCTCAGGATGCCCCGTATTTGGGGGGGGCTGAGGGGGGACCCTGTTTGCTGTCCTTCCCCGGGGTGGTGACCTGGAGCCGAGCTCTGGAATGTTGCTGGGAGAGGGATGCTGAGCCCTTTGGAGCATCTCCGAGCCCTTTGGAGCATCTCCGAGCCCTTTGGAGCATCTCTGTGCCCCTTGGAGCATCTCTGTGCCTCCTCCTCCCCCCAAAAAGATCCCAAACTCCACCGCCGTCCTCGGCAACTTCTTTTTTGCCGTCCATTTCCATGACAACCTTCCCTCTGCCACCCCCCACCCCCTTCCCAAATTAGGTCAGCAGTGCCTTGGCTTCTCCTCGCTCTTTCTCCTCCTCACCCTTCCCCCCAAAACCTGCCTCGCCGTGGGGTTTTGGGGGATGTGGGGTGTCCCTGTGTCCCCAGATGTCGTGGTGTGAACTCGGGGGGGGTCGTGCAGCCCTGCCTGGAGCCCCCCCAGCTCACCTGAGGACCCCCCCGAGCGGGGCTGGGACGGTGCATCCCCCCCCTCTCTGCCGGGTCAGTGGATTTTCCCGGGATTGGGATGTTTGGGATGCTTGGGATGAGGCTGCCGCCCCCCCCCCCCCGGGATCACATCGGCGTCAGGGAAATATTTAACTGCTGGAAAACAGGAAAAGCAAACAGAGTGTGGGGCGGGGGATTGATTTATTCACACCAGCGGAGCCCCTCCGGCGATTTTGGGGCTGGGGGAAGGGGGAACTCCATGGTGCGGGCTCGGGGCTTCTCCCACCCCTTCCCTGCCCCCCTAACCGGGGCTGGGGTGGTGTGAGCGCCCGTGGGTGCCCCCCGGGACCCCCAGCCCCGACCTGAAGCAAACGAGCTGTTTTTTAGTGCCGGTTGTTGTGGAGAACGAGCCACCGCTAATTGCCTTGGGGGGAGAGCCAGGGAGGGGGATTAGGGGGCCGTGGGGCAGGAAAGGAGGGGCTGTAAACCTCGTGTGAGCCAGGGGGGAGTGTGGCACCCGTGAGGGAGTGTGCCAGGGCACCAGGAGCCAGCACTGACCCCCCC